ACTTCCAATCGACGATCATTCAATACCGTTTTGTGGATTTTCTTCACCGTCTCTGAAGTCGTCATCTCATTTGGTTGACCACTGCGATGCTCCCCTTGGCAGCTCGTACGGCCTTGTTTAAACTCTGCTACCCAATATTTCACTGTTGTAAACGAAGGAGTAGACTCACCCAAAGTATAATTCAGTTTAGCTTTTATGTTGGTTGGGCTGAGGCCTTTCAAATGAAAGTATTGTATCACATAACGATGACCAATTTTCTCTATTTTCACACATTCATCGAAAACGTTCATTATTGATGGCTGCCAAACAAATACTAAGCAACGCAGCGTCTCCAAACTTGAAACATATGCTTTATAGATTGTGTACTTTCTAATGCAGTGATATTTTTCAAACAACTACCGCCATCTCTAGGTCAGGCGGGTACTTCTGGGACCACCCTGGTAAATAAACTGTTTCAGAATAGTAAAACTATATACTCATTATAAAAACAGTTCACACGTCCGGAGTCACGATTGGAAAAAACAAAATCTGGTCAAAAGGAACTTATAGTTCTGAGCGTTTCGTCTGCTACTGCAGCATACATCTTCATTGTATTCCTTGACTGCGAGGACGTCGGTAATATCTCAAAGTCTCAGCATGAACTGATTGAGGAGCTCCATGTTCATTTGTATCCGTACTAATCGGGTAATGTGTCCATGAGAATGCTCAGACTTGATTGGCCTGCACTTGTGCCAGGTTATTCTGATCGGCCTTTGTCGTTGATTGCTGTGCAAATGGTGAAACGTCGAATGGAGTTTCATTCCTGGCCTCTTTCAGTACTGGATACCAGATACTGTTGACTCGTATACCTTCTTCATTTGTGATAAGATTGTTGGGATGCTTATAGATGCCAGAAGTTTCTATTTGAATTTCAGTATGGGTATTGCAATGTAGTAGATGAAGCAGCAGTTTCCTAAAATGCCATTGTGTCGTCTGTACCCGCTAGGACTGATGTTGATGATGCTTTTGGTAGTCAAGATATACACTGAATCACAGAAGCAGAGAATCCTGTGAACGATGGCAAATGACAGACTCTCTCTTTTGTTCTTAACCAATCTGATGCTGAATTTATTGAAATAATTCAATCCGCATCCTCAGGCTGATACAAGCTAATGAACCTGATGTAGCCGTCCTTGACTCCATTTCTGGCTCGATGATCATGTACCTAACGGTGTGTGTTGATTATGCTGGCGCACCATTTGAATGTGTCGGGGCCAACCAGCACAATCTTCAATGTACAAATAATTATAATGGTTTTTTTCAACGAGTCAGAACCTTATAACAGGAAATGTTTAAAAACTAATTTTCCAAAAAGTATGGAGTGTGGTGTGTCAATTAAAAGAAAAAAAAACCTCAGTTGATTACAAAAGGTATCATGCAACGGCGAATATCATTGAGAGATAGATAATTTATATCACAGAAATATCAAACTGTATTAAAATGTTTACAGTGGAAGGCTACCAAATGCAATGTTTTTTCTTGGTAAATCAACCTAGAACATTATTCTACATCTAGTGGGACCTAGAAAAATATTTTTGATATCGTTGTGCAATAGATTGTATAAAAATGTTACTGAGGATAATTAGTCCTACAAACTGCGATTCTTTAAAGCATTTGACTATGAAAAATGTCTCTTTCAAAATACGTATCAAACAATTCAAAACAAATGAATTTGAGAAACTTCAGTTAGATTCCTTTAATGAAAGCTGAGTGAGTCGCATAAATATAATACCACAAAAGTATGCTATATTCTAATTTGTTATTGATATAACAATATGAAAAATAACTTCATCACCTCCATGATCTTGACACTCCTCAAGGAAAACTGCATACTTCATTAAAGCTTAAAATAACCTTTCCACACTTGATGTTTTGGTAGAGTCATCTTTGAAATACAGAGCTTTTTAAAGTTTTTTCATGTAGTTTTGAAACGCATACTTTCATCAAGTAGACTTTGGACGACGCAGCAATGAAACGGAAAGAAATTTTTCAGTAGTAACTATCAAAAAACTTTGTATAACTGTCGTTTCCAATTCGTATCTAGAATTGGTCGGCGATTTGTAAAAAAAACTCTCAACCTTCCCCAGAGGTGAAAGTCCATAGGCGTTATGTCTGGTGACCTGGCCGAGCAACGGTTGGGTCCTTGGTTGGCTATCCAATTATTACCAAAATTTGCAGTCAAATAATTGGTAAAAATTGCAGTTTTCATCTGTCTAGTTCGGAAACAGAAGTTTTCCTTTGAAAGTGTCCAATTTGACCCACTCTGTAAAACCTGATCAGAAATCTTTCATCTCTCGGAGGAATCAGTCCAGTCATCACCCGAAGACGATTGTAGATACTAACAATCGAAACGTCGTGAACTAACGTGACTTGGAATCTCTCCACTTTTTATTTTTATTTTCTTTTTTCTTTTCTTTATTTTCATTTATTCAATTTTTATATTTTTACTTGTGTTTTATTTCACTATCATTTCATTTCAGGTTTATTTTGGTTAATATAATTCTTATTTTCAACTATTAATTTTAATTCTTTTTTATATAGTAGACAGTGGAAGTCCGAACCAGTGAAATTTATCATGAAACATTGTCAATCACCTTCAAACAAGCATCTAAACATTTGACAAAAATGGAATTTTTTGCAATACCCTAAATATTGTTTGTGATGACATGGCTATAATTCAAGTATATTTTTTTAAATACTGTAAATCACTGTAAAATATTCCTAAAATGAATTTGATGAGTATATTTAGGTTCTATGTCTATTGTACTATTGAGTAATACAGTGCATTTCTTTAATGCCCCCCTTTTATTTTTTGAACGGGTCAACTCAAAAAATTGTTATTTGGTAAAATGAAATTAATGCACGAATACTTTATTTTGAAGTGAAATTGACAGATGAAACTTCCAAGATGGCGACTGGACGCCATCTGGGAAAAAAATAAATGACATATATTTTTGAAGCTCCTGACAAATGCTTCACAACCCTAGAATCTAATGTTAATATCGGAATCTCAATGGCGGAATTTTAATAATTGCCTGAATAAATTGACATTTAACTACATAATATAAGGTAATAAGCTTGAGGTCAGTTCAGAAGATGCTCGAAATGGTTGCATTGAACTTCTTGACAATCCGATATTTCACGCCGAACATTTTCGAACACAGTAACGTCAATATCTCTACAAATATTTATTATTCTCTGCCGTATATCCAATATTGAAGCATGTTCAGTTGTACACTTTTGCTTCGAAAAAAAAAAAGTCCAAAGGTGTCAAATCTGACGAGCGGGCTGGCCATTCTGTAGGACCTAGACGGCTGATCCAACGAACGGGAAAAGTAGTATCCAAATAGTTTCCTTCGTGTTTGGAGTAATGTGGTGGTGCTCCATCTTGTTGGAATACAATATCCATATCGAATTCATTAGGATTCGCTTCGACGATTTCATTGATGAGAGGATCAACAGTAGTTTCCAGCACATTCAAATACAGTTCCCCTGTTGAATTTTGATCAATAAATAGAGGTCTACAATATGGTTTCCCAATATTCCAGCCCAAACGTTAGTTTTTTCTGGATATTGGGTATGTGTTTCCCGGAAAACGAGAGGGTTGGTGTCACTTTAATAACGGCAATTTTGTCTGTGAACATTGCAGTTCAAAAAAAATATACATTCGTCACTAAAACAAATATTGTGGAGATAGGTAGGATGCCTTACAATGGTTTCCGTCATGATTTCGCAGAATTCTGTTCTTCGATCAGGATCATCTTCAGTTAATTGGTGTACCAATTAACTTATTCCTCTTCATTCCTCTTCAAAAGTTTTCACACAGTAGAAGGAGACATCTCACAAACATTCGCGACGAAATAAGTACACTGGTCAGGATTCACTACCATCTCACCAATTATTTGCACTTGATGTTCTTCCGGAATGGACGGATGATCTGGGGGCTTTTTGTTATGTACACCACCGGTAGTTGTGAATTTGAATACAAGTTCCCTGAAATATTTTCTACACCGTAAATAAAAATCGTTTGAATTTTTTCTTCCAATGGACGAGAATTGACCATTTTAGATATTGTTAACATGGTACCTTTCTACTAGTAATACCGAAAACTAAATGAGAATATTCTTACTGAACAATGATGTTCTTTGTCGTACTGACATATTTTGACGTTTTTACAAACAAAAAATAACTTAACAAACCCTATCGGGTTGTTGGAATTGCCATATGGCAGATAAAAAGAAATATTTGTGTTTTGAAGGAATATTTGGGTTTCAGGAGCTTCAAAATGATGTATCACAAGACCCCCTTTTCCATTTAATTTTTTTTTCCAGATGGCGCCCAGTCGCCATCTTAAAAATTATATATCTGTCAATTTCACTTCAGAATAAAGTATTGATGCATTTGTAGTTGCATGATAGATATATTCAATATCCTATATGAACAATAAATAATGAAATTTGGAACAATCATGAAATACAAATCAATTCAAAGAACTAAGATTATAAAAAAAAGGAAAGAAGAAAAAAAATCACATCAAAGGTGCTGCTTCGTTCCCTCCTGTTCATAATTTCATTATCATTTCATAATGCATTAATTTCATTATCCCAAATTTCAATTTTTTGAGATTACCCCTTCAAAAAATAAAAGGAGGGGACACATTAAAGAAATGCACTGTATATTTCTATCATATTTGCGGTGTTTACATAAAGTCAACAGAAGTTGTAGTATGAATTCAGGCAACTTGTCAACTGAAAACGTCAATCTTCCGTCAGAACTGTCAACTTCTACATTTCACAAAAAAAAAATCACAAGAGGCAAATAACAAAATGAAACTTTTCTCGAAGATATTCTTGAAATTGCTCATTCCCAAAAACGTCTTTTCATTTCTGGTTCGTAGAATGTACACCATTCCTTTGCCATGTCATATAATGATCAAACAGTGATACAATTTGTTTTTCCAGATTAACTTAAGAAAAATTCAGGATGGACGGAACAAAGTATTCGGATATGAAGAAGAGAAAGCCTCATCCTATAGAAAGGGGAAACATATTCAACCGAATATTTTTTTGGTATGTATTCCAGTGGTGCGAAATCAATTTATTGAATCCAATCTGTACTTCCTTGCCAAACTTATAAGAATCTAAGATATTTTTGCTAGTGTTAGTTATAGTATTTCAATATAAATCTTCAAAAAATTATTGATGTCACTTTCATAGTTCAGTTAGGTATTATTCACCAAAATTCATTAGATACTCGTTAGGACAAAAAGAGGATTGTTCCGAATTCTTGGGGTTCTTGTTAAATACTCTCCGTGGGCAAAACAATAGCAATACTCCTGACCACTCTGGATTGAATGATTCCGTACAATCTATCTCGTCTTGTGTTTGTAAATTTTTTGCTGGACCTCCAATCGATTCCTTACTAGTTTGATTTATAGTTCATGTTCAAGAGGTAGCAAAAACGTATGTGACTTTCTGGAACTTCAACTAGCGATTCTTGATATGACTGATAACCAGTCCGTGCAAAGCTTATTGTTGAATCATCTGAAAATAGAAAATCTAACGGCTGATGATCAACTGTATTGCCAAATATGCGCCAAACTAACTTCCTATTACAAGACAACAAGTATAGGTGAGGCACCAGTCAATCTAATGAAAACATTGATGATCTTCAAACATGACTCAAACTCTGACGGAAGCACCAAAATCTTACGAAGGTTCGAAATAGATGAACGCTTCAATCTAGCTGACCACTATTATGATCTTCATGCAGTCATTGTTCACTGTGGTTCTGGCGTTGAATCTGGCCATTATTACGCATTGGTGATAGTTTGAGGTAATTCACGTACGAATCAAGATTTTTTAACGTGATCTCAAAAATGCGATTCTTTTACGTTGTATAAGAAGTTAAAATTTCGATTCCGGTTGAAATTTTTTATTATTCAACGGATATTAGCTCTGTTGTTTGAAATTTTCAAAAAATTCAATGCAGAGTAAACGGCGCTTTCATATACAAACTGCTAGTGTCCTACCGAAAGTTCGGTTTCCGTTTAGTTTCGGTTTCGGCGGCAAACCTGTCGAAACCACAGTATATAGCTATATTAGAACCAGTAGTATCACTTCGATGTCGGCACTTTGATGTTGATGGTATGAAGTTTTTACTGCGCTGGATCCCCCGCGCAACTGGCGGAGTCGTGTTCAGTGTATATACACTGCTCGACACATGAATCTTTTATATACTGCTCCACATAAACTCGGATACGATTTTTATTAAGTCAATTCCAAANTTGTGAATTAAAGATAAAAAAATAAAGACTGACTGATTATAAAAACGTTTTCTTTATTTTTCCCTCAAAACATAATCCTTGTAAGGAAGTTTCGGTTTCGGCCGAAACTGAGACCGTTGCCGAAATTCGGTTTCGCTCGAAAAACCAGTTTCGGTCGGACACTACAAACTGCATTCAATTAGTTTAAAATTATTCAAATAATATTCAAAACGATTCATTAACTGAATGATTTCCAGTTGGTTTTTTCCATACCTCTCCAAAGGGTTGAAAAGAGAAATTGACGAAGATGACATGTACGAAACTAGAAACTCGCAAAAATCCGAAAAACTCGGGAATAAGCTGCAAGCTGCTTGGATGGTTGAGACGAAGAAAAAGAATCCCTCGTTAATGAAAGCTTTATTTGTGGTCTTCAGAGTGGAACTGGCCCTCTATGGATTATTCAATATCTTCACTGAATCTGTAAAGTAAGTTCACCTTTTTTTTATACAGTGCGGACGTTAATAGCCCTTTTACCCTTCAACTTTTGAACGGAACGAAATATCAAGTTAGAACCATTTGATAAGGAAGACGATAGTGTTGTATGACTTGTCGTCAGAATAGGTATAGGGTGTTTTATTAAGCGCTTCCTATCTTTAAATTCAAATAAAACAGAGTTTGTCTGGGAGATATCACCAAAATTTTATTCGTTTGAAAGACCTATCGATGCGATTATGTGTGAAATATAACATCGTCCAAATGTCCGGCACGACTTCTCTGGATTGATCGCATCCGAAAAGTCCAATTTTTCATGCTCTGGCGCATAAATCAGACTTAATTTGACCTATGGCATGGGTTATGTTGGTTTTGAGGACCACTGTCGTTTGTGGCTTATTCGATTTCACCTGCGATTCAAGAAAAGCCCACAAGAAAAAGTCCAACGAGGTCAAATTGCACGATCTCGGTGGCCAGTTCACATCACCTCCACGTAAGATGGCCAAGCCCTTAAATCGCTCGTGCAGAATATCCAATGTGTCATGAGCTGTGTGGCACATAGCGCCATCCTGTTGAAACCACATATCTTTGGTATCCAGATCATCCAATTCAGGCCAAAAAAATTGGTAATCATCGACCTGTAGTGCTTGCCGTCAACAGTGATGGCATGGCCAGCGTCGTTCTCAAAGAAATATGATGGACCGATGACGCCGCCAGCCTATAGTCCACGCGTAACCGTAACTTTTTCGGAATGCATTGGACGCTTTTGGATCGCATGTGGATTGGTATCGTCCCACATTGGACAATTTTGTTTGTTCACGTACCCATTTATCCTGATTCCCTTGCAAAGGAGGGTATTGCAAGTAGCTTCATCGGACCAGAATCTGTCATTGGCATCGCTTTAGGCTTTACCAAACAAAGATTGAACTCTTGGATGGCAAGAAGATTCATGGACTTCTGGCAGAATCTTCCAAGATTTGCTCACTCCAGGGCGTTTATTCACCTTTCGAAGCTTAATACCAAACAGTTGTTGGACTATAGTAGGTATGAACTACATTGTCTAACAGGCCTTCCTACAGGTCACTGTCATTTGAATCATCTTATGCAGAGATTCGAACTGTCGGAAGACAGTGTGTGTCGCCTTTATTTGGAAAATGGTGTAACAGCAGACCACTCACCATACAAACGAATCGGCTTCATGAAGAAGCGAGGTTTATTTGGTCGAGTGTGAATAGATGTGAGCCACAATTAACCCCTGTGGGTTGCGGCGGAGGATCGAATAGATCTACTCACTTTGGACCTAACCTAACCTAACCCATTCATCCAGAAAATGGCCTCATCGCTGAAAAGAGTGTTTTGATGAAAATCAGGGTCAGTTACCAACTGCTTCAGTTGTGGTCTGCGGAATGCCGAATTTTTGTGAGCCACGCAAAATTAACTTCTTCGGATTATCCTGCACACTCTCACAGAGAGCGGCGATGTTTTCGGCATATCTTGCGTTTCGTTGACGTACAGATGTTGGTCGATTGTTTACTGAACCAGTGGACTCAAAATCCACCACATTCCGAATAGTCCTCTCGGTAGGACGATTATGACGATCGTAAAATGGGCGAAGCGCTTGCTACGTTGACCATTTTGATAAAACAATGTTATTATTTGCACTTGTTGTTGAATGCTATATCCGTCCATGGTNAATGGTTTGCTTCTTATCTATCGGGTAGAAGTCAAAGGATTAAATATACAATAGTATCTGATGTTTTTAACATATCTAACGGAGTACCACAAGGATCAGTACTGGGACCTACCCTATTTCTACTCTATATCAATGACTTGACTACCATTGATATTGAGGGTAAATTTACGTTATTCGCCGACGACCCTACAATATTATGGCGCAATACCAACACAAATGATCTATATAATGCCATTTGCTCTGATATTTCCAAACCTTCAGATTGGTGTAAGGCAAATTGATTAGCTTTCAATGTCTCAAAAACTAAAGTTTCATCCTTTAATTGAATTCTTGATAATATTCCTCTAGCTTGGAATTCAATTGTGATAGCGAACACGTCATGCAACAAATTTCTTGGGTTATCAATTGATAATAAATTGAAATTTGAGGACCACATAGTATCCCTTAACAAAAAACTTTCATCTGTATGTTATGCTGTGAAAATAACTTCTAACGAACTAGGACTAACTGCAGCTAAAACTGTCTATTATTCATTAGTAGAATCACATCTAAGATGTGGGATACCTTTCTGGGGGGTAAGTAATCAAACTCGACTCGAGTCGATTTTTATTCTGCAGAAAAGGTCATTAAGATTTCTCTGTAGAGCCAGGCGGCAAGATTCTTGTAGGCCTTTGTTTGTAGCAAACAAAATGTTATCACTGTATGCTCTATTCATCCTAGAAACAGTTTGTTTAGTGCATAAACATAGAACAGAACTTCCCTCTATTGTCTCTCATTACACCACACGCCAGACCCTGAATTTAAGTCTTCCCTTACCTTCCCTTCCCTTACCCACAGTGTGGGAAGTGTCATTGGTTGATAAAGCTGGCGCGCCCTCCCGAATGTATCGGGGCTTCGGGGGATAGGGCCTGGCCAGAGCACACTACGGTGAAAAGATATATTTGAAAATGAAAATAGTTTACAGGAGATTCTGGTACTCCTTGGCGAAGTCTATCTCAAAGCTACTCTAACTCAACCAACAAGCACCACTCCATAATGCACACAAACATACAAAAATAAAAGCAATTAACAGTGATGGTACCATGAAATGAGAACCGTAAATAAAATGATAATTTGTTATTACCTTCTAAAGATAGTTGAAAAATAATTTAATTTAATTGATCTGTTGTCTAAAAAGCAAAAGTTGACATTACTGACTATCATAGATATAATTTTTATACTTGTACTTGAATTTCCTAATATTGAATCTCTTCAATTGCTCAGGCAATGAATTATAGAGTTTAGAGTTTTTGTATTAAAAGAGGAGAATGGGGAAGGGGAGTAATCAATATTTCATTTAGGAGATAAGATACATAACAGTCTTTCAGAAAATACGTCAAAATTCAAATTTGAATTAAAAAATGTATCCTGCCTTCTTCTCATTGGAATTATGATCTCCATATTACCCTCTTTTGTTCAATTGTCATTATAATTCAATCATCAATATGTACATCATTATTATGAACTGTTTTGCTTCTTGGGTGTTCATCGACTTTTCTGAAAATCTATTAAGTTATGGAGAAAATTATACAGTTGTAAATGGCCCTTTCTACACTTGTATAAAGTTCTACATTACGACATTCATTTTTTAATTTTTTCAGATAATGGAGGGTGAAAATTCCCAGAAAAGTGGATACAAAATCACAGTTATTATTATCATTATATACATTTATATTAATTTCTGAATGGAATGAATTCAAGTGAATTGGAAAATTTTATTTACTTTTCAGAATAATTCAACCGATGCTCATCTCCAAACTGGTCTCATTCTTCCAACCAAACAGTCCCGAGGCAAGCTCAAAAGAAATCTACACGTACGCGTCCATTATCGTTCTGTCATCTCTCATGCAGGTAATGTGCAACCACAACTACCAAATGTTGGTAATGACCTTGGGAATGAAAGTGCGAGTAGCAGCTTGCTCGCTAATCTACCGGAAATCTCTGAAGCTGAGCAAGACAGCTCTTGCCGAAACCACAGTCGGCCAAATGGTCAACTTGCTGTCCAACGATGTCGGGAGATTTGATTTCGCAGCGCAGCACATCCACAATTTGTGGATAGCCCCCTTAGAAACGGTGGTAGTTATGTACTTGTTGTACATATACGTTGGCCCAACTGGATTGGTTGGTACCATTTTCCTCTTGTCGTTTATCCCATTTCAAAGTGAGTACAAGGCTTTTTGCGTTTATTAGTGGGGCTGGTTGCACCAAGGGTTGTGGTTACTTTATCAAATCAAATCAAATTATGCTTCATTGTCTTGAGGAATCCACATGACCTCATTTTATCAACACTACATTCAATATAATGATAGAGGTTCTTACAAATTCGTCTGTGGGGTTGTTCTGCTATAAAGCTACAAAAGTGGCCACAGATGTAACCGGCTACAACGGTCTAATGAACATGTAGGCATAGCTACTAATCCGATGTAATCCATAAAATAGTTTTCAGTAGGCCTACAGAATTAGCAGAATAATTCTGTAATAACAAAGGGCGATTATTTTGTGAATCAGTATCAAACTGTCAGTTGTCATATCATGTTCTTTATCGTCAGAGAGGGTCAGTGAATTTTTTCAACCATTTGACGTTATTAACACATGAAGACAAAATAGATCTCATCGCAGTAACGTATGTAAGTGACTAGTAAATTGTACCATACCTTGAAAAAAGCAGATTCAAACTAGTTAGAAATTGAAGTGCAGTTTTTGGTGATAGTGAATTTAAAGTGAAACACCAACTATGTGGATGAGAAACACCGGGTCATGACAAAAGAATACTTTTCATCAACCTGTTGGTCAAGAAGAAGAATGGATATCTGATAAGCACAGAGTGGGTACTCAAAGTAGGTACTCGAAGTTGACGAAGGAATTACTGAATAGCAATTGGAGAGTTCATCATCTGGATTTCCTCAAACAGGAAATGCATATCTAGTAGATATATAGAATATCCGTTTGAGGTCACCATAGATGCAATGTAGATGCATAAATACTCAAAAACATCTTCAAGACGCTCCGGGACCAACGCCTTTGCAAAAGTGGCTGTTAGCGTTAGATTCAAATTGCTGTTGATCATATCCATTGTGTATTCCACAAGACGTTGCCCTTCAAATGAAAGACTTCCTGTAAAGTGTAGTTTGTGTTGTGTTGATTGGACCTCGACGTGTTGAGAAGCTGTAGTGTGCTGCGAATTTTTGACGTCCATCAAGGAAACCAAGCATTTCAAGTCAGTCAGTCAAGTCAGTCAAGAGACCATGACTTTCTTCGAGGTTCCTGAACATCACGATTTCTTATTATGTCTGAATCTCCGGTCAGACAAAATCATCCAGTAATGGAGTATCCCACAGCCTCACGGTATGCTTGGGAACGGAGCCCCAAATATATGAGTTATATTCCAAAAAAGAATAATTTTATTTAATGAATCATCAAAAGGGGCGGGGGAGTGTCAACTTATAATAGTAAATTCAATAAATCCCAAAAAACATGCAAGTTCATCATACAGGGAATTAGGAATAGTAACAAATGCGTATAAGATATACTATTTTTTATTGTTAGTGAAATGTGCACTATTAATGTTCAGGTATATGAGTTCACAGAAGGAAAAGAATACTGTTATCAGCAAACCAAGACATCTCTAACCAAGATCCGCCCTAGGGTCAGACTTGAATCAGACTTGAATTCCACAAGATATAAAAGAAGTAAAATCAAGAGCGTCTCTTGGAGATGCATCTATTGGAGTGGTTTTCATTGCTCTTGATCAAGTAAGTCTTCTCACCAAACCATATATGCATATATTATCATGGGTTTAACCACCATTTCTCTTCTCCTCGACGCCTGGATATTTAATTCTAGGGACGCTTTATCAAGTGCGCTCTCAATATTTCAGAAATTAGCTGAAAGTACATCCTTGATGGTAAAAGTATTCGAGACGCAGTCATAAATTTATAAAAAATGGTCTTTGAGAAAAATGCAGTTTAGGACTCTTTTGTTTTATTCAAAAGAAGGTGACATATGAGATGAGAGCTTTGCTCACGGAAACAATCGAGCGCTTAAGCAATTAAAGCATTCCAAATATCTGAGAATAAACCTTGTATAGTCAGGTTATATATCACATACTCTGCACTTGGGGAAGAATGTATATTGGAAACACGAAAAGATTGGTGAATGAAGGGGAAAAATAGCTGCATGAAGTAAACTGCTGGATGAAGCATAATCTAAAGAAGTTACTTTATAAGATTCGGGGACACCAAAGTTTCATAATGCAGCATACCATGCTACATAATATTGGAACATCATCAAAATTTATGAAATTTCAGTTGTTCAGAAAAAAACTAAAAGTGACATAATCAGTGAGGCTGCCAAAATCAACAAATAAAATTCATCATTGAAGATTTATCAGCGGTACGACGAGAACCAATTGTACAATGGATATGTGCTCACCTAATATAGTTTTGGTAATTCAATTTCAAAGAATTGGTTATCAAAACGCTCGTCAAGAGACAGTATTTTTGCTTAGTGTGGGAAAAGTTTTTTTGATAGATTCATTTCACGCTAGAGTTTGCGATTGTACCTGTTAATTTACGGACTATATATTCAACAAACTTGCAAGTGACAAAGACAATATCGATATTGTTAACACTATTTAGAAAAATAAGCACTAAAATGTTTTGCCCGAGTATTTCAAAATACATTATATCGATATTGATATTTCGCAGACAAGTTTTCCAAAATACAAGTTTTCAATACCTATGTTTCCTCTGATAAAAATTCAATAATAAGACTAGTTTTGACAATCCTTTCCTATATCAATCGTCCATTTTTTCTATTTTATGCTTTTATAAATACATGTAATTTGGTGATTAATAAACTACTACTACTACCACTACTACTTTCTACGCATGTTGACTGCTAGGCTAGAATTGTAGACTTGTGATTGAATAAACATATATTTCAGCAAAATATTCTAAGGCTATCGTATTATTTGTGAATGCAGATTCGAAAAGTTTCATATTCAATAATTAGAATTCTCAATACTTTGAAAGTGGAATATACTCGTATATGTAATATCAGAGATGAATCATAATACCTCATTTTTCAAATTGTTATGAAAATACAGTCATAATGAAAAAAACAGGAAAAAACATAAAAAAAGTGTAAGTTGCACTTAATGTTTGTTAATCCATTACGAAAGTGGTCCAAGAAGTACCCGGCCTGACCTAGAGATGGCGGTAGTTGTTTAAAAAATATAACTGTATTATAAAGTACATAATCTATAAAGCATATGTTTCAAGTTTGAAGACGCTGCGTTGTTTAGTATTGGTTTGGCAGTCATCAATAGCGAACGTTTTCGGTGAATTTGTGGAAATCGAAAAAATTGGTCCTTGTTATGAAAGGCCTCAGCCCAACCAATATGAAAACTGAACTGGATCCTACTCTGGATGAGTCTGCTGCTTCGTTTACAACAGTAAAATATTGAATAGCAGAGATTTAACGAGGCTGTACGAGCTGCCAAAACGAATATCGCAGTAGTCGACCAAATCAGGTGATGACTCCAGAAATGGTGAAGAAAATCCACAAAGCGATAATGAATGACCGTCGACTGAAAATGCGCGAGCAGAAATGTGACATGAGAGAGCTGTATGCAAGATGGGTGCCGCGTTTGCTCACACTTGAGCAAAAACAGTGTCGTGAAGATGTTTCATTTGAGTGTTTAATGAAGATTCGCAGCAACAAAGCAGAATTCTTACTTCGTTTCATAACCATGGATGAAACATGAGTACATTACTTTACACCCGAAACAAAAAAAAAACAATCGAGAGTGGACTCAAAAGAAAGAATCGGTTCCAAAGAAGGTGAAGACCGTTTCATCTGCAGGCAAGGTCATTCGGTTTTTTCGGATGCGCGTATGATAATTTTCATTGACTATCTTATAAATGATAAAACTATCAACGGCCAGCGAGTATTATGCGAACTAATTGCAACGTTTGAGTGAAGAAATCAAGCAAAAACGAGCGCAGTTGGCTAAAAAAAAGGTGTTATTTCATCAGGACAATACACCAACTCACAATTACATCATCGCAATGTCCAAAATTAATGAATTAAAGTTTGAATTGCTACCTCATGCACCCTATTTGCCAGATTTAGCCCCTTGGGTTATTTTCTATTCCTCAACTTGAAAAAATGGCTCAGTGGTCAAACATTTTCCAACTATGAAGAAGTGATGTCGGCAGTTAATGGCATTTTGAGGAGCAAGACAGTTCTTATTATGAAAACGATATCAAACTTACTGAACGTCGCGTCGCTGGGAAAAATGTATAAAGCTGCAAGGAGATTATGTTGAATTTTTTTTTCCAAAATTTTTGTGTTTTCTTTGTTGGGTCGGGTACTTCAGCGTATAAAGGTCTTATAGAATTTCACTCGATATAAATCAAAAATTATAACAATACTAATGTTTATTTTTGAGTCATTCATACTTTCACAACATTGAAAAAAAATTAAAAAAATAGGAATAGATTTTTATGTATTAAAATACTGCCACACAGTGAACACCTTGTCATTGTGGAGGATCTATGAATGATAATGTCTTACAGTGTATATGGCCAAACTAACATCAAAATTGAGACTGAAAACTGCCATTCGTACAGATGAAAGAGTACGACTGATGAACGAGATCATTTCCGGAATACAAGTTATCAAAATGTATACATGGGAGAAGCCTTTCGCCAAACTTGTCGATATAGTAAGAAAGTGAGTAGCATATGTAATTACATTTAAATCCACTTTAGCCCCCACGACCAACTTTTACATTTATATATTTATATTTTCGTATTCCCCATCAAAAACTAAGAAAAAAAGTATTTCACGACAATCCCCGATGACGTACATTGAGAAAGTTTACAAGTTTCAAGGTCACATGTTGACTTTGGAAGAAAATGAGATGGATGATAAGGGTTTAGGCTACGTTAGTTCAGGTTAGGTTTGAGTATAAGTTGGATTCAGCTTAGTGACCGATTTTGAGTAATTTTTGTTGTGTTGAAATGACTAAGGTTCATATTAGGTCATGTTAGGTTTGAATTCAATTCAGTTTTGGTGTTCTTTTCTTAGTGTTTCTCGCCCTCACTTAATCCATTTGGACGAAATGAAACAAAAAGTCTACCTATTTGTGATGTTCTGTTCGGAACCTTCAAGAGGAAGATTAATCTTCCTTTTGAAGATGATCACTTGGTGATCGAAACACGTGTCGAGGTGTTAAAATGACGGTTCGGTGTTGAGATAAAACTCCAGTTATATTTTTGAAAAAGTCTATAATTACACCTAGATGACGAACACTAAAAAGACTCATACGAGTTTTGAAGTTTCATGTTGAGTCCATGGAAGAAAATTCCAACTGTAAAAATGGAATTGTTAGGGTTTAGATTAGATTGGGTCAGCTTAGCGACCAAGTTTGAGCAGCTGTTGTGGGGTTGATTAGAGTGCAAGTTAGGTTAGGATAGGTTCAAGTGGAACTCAGCTCAAGGTTAAATTAGGTTTTCCTCACCAAGATTTTTTGTCCTCAAAATCTAATTTGGATGAAAAAATTTCTCCACGACCCCACGATAGGGTTGTGGGATCAAAAATAAGACAAAAAGTCTATTATAGCATTCCTCAATGACGAACATCAAAAATTTATACGAGTTTTGAGGTTACATGTTAAGTTCATGGGAGAACAAGCATTTACTTCAATAATTCCATTTGTAGAGGGAATATAAAGCGATGATGAAAATAATGAAATAACAGTTGAAAAAATAATAATAATCAATAATCAGTAGAATCAGATGAAATACAAAAGTGTTTCGTGTTCATTGAATTGATTATTTTCTATGACAACTGTAAATATTTGGAAACAGATTTCTGGAATGTATGGATCATTTCAGTAAAGTATAATTTACACTTTGGAAATGAGAAGGACGATTAAGGAGGTTAGGTTAGATTAGGTTAGGTTAGGTTTAATTTCACATTTTCGTTGATACATTTTTTTCAACAAGATATATGCTCAAAAAAATTCCCTCGATATAGATTAACTCACCAATCGATTTTTTTACAGGAGAGAAATTGATCAAATCCGAGCAACCTCCATAATCCGAGCCATTCTCATGAGCTGCAGCATGGTTCTGGTCAGAGGCGCAGTCTACATTTGCATTTTAACCTATATCCTTACTGGGAATACTCTCACTGCAACATACGCCTACACCATCTCTTCCTTCTACGGTGTTCTCCAAGTGACAGTGACCATGTTCTTCCCTCAAGCCGTTATTCAATTCGCAGAAACGACAGTTTCCGTGAAGAGAATTCAACAGTTTCTGTCATATGACGAGCTCTCAAACGCCACCATGATAGACAGCGGACATCTATTGAACGGTGTCAATGGTAAAGCACACATAGACACAAAAACCAAAGAAGTTGGAATCCACCTGAAGAACATGTCAGTCAAGTGGCTCAAGTCTCTGCAAGAAAACACTCTAGAAAATATCAATTTAGAAGCCAGCCCCAAGCAGTTGGTCGCTGTAGTAGGGCCAGTGGGCAGCGGCAAGTCAACCCTTCTGCACGCCATCTTGAAAGAGTTATCACCCGTGGAGGGTTCTGTTAGTATAGGAGGATCTGCGTCGTATGCTTCGCAAGAACCTTGGTTATTCGGAGCAAGCGTTAGGCAAAATATTTTGTTCGGGCAGAAGTACGACCCTGTCAAATATGAGGAAGTTATTAGAGTTTGTGCTCTTCAGAGAGATTTCAGTCTCTTTCCTCACGGAGACAGAACGCTAGTGGGGGAAAGAGGAGTGGCTCTCAGTGGGGGGCAGAGGGCAAGAATTAATCTAGCTAGAGCAGTTTATAAAGAAGCAGATATTTACTTACTGGACGATCCCCTATCAGCAGTCGATACACATGTTGGAAAACAGCTCTTCAACGAATGTATCTGCGGGTACTTGAGGAACAAGTGCGTTATTCTGGTAACACACCAGCTACAGTTTTTGAGAAAGGCACACTGTATTTACCTGCTCGAAGATGGTGAGGTTAGATCATCTGGCACTTACCAGGAGTTGAAGAACTCTAACAGCGATTTTACCAAGCTCCTCGAAGAATCCAAAGAGGAGGAGAAAAAAGTTGAAAGACGTAAATTATCCAGAATCGAACAAACGGACGAGACCGACATAGAAGAAAAACCTGTGATTTCTGAGGAAAGGGAGCAACGGGCTAGTGGCATCATCACTTGGTACGTTTATCGCAGTTACCTACAGGCAGGAGGTAACTGGTGTAAGACGATTTCATTGTTGATGCTCTTCGTGATATCGCAAGTGTTTGGCAGTTCAACCGATTACTTCATAACCACTTGGTAAGTATCTCGATTTAAAAAAAAAATCCACCATTTTTTTCATTATTGAAATTTGTTTATCAGTTTGAAGTTTGAATTACTATCATAGCTATTACTTATTGTAACTATCTTCGTCTATCTTCCAAGCTGAAGTTTATGCTATCCTGCGCAAATAACATCAGTAAGAAACTGAATATTTGTGTTAATGTCGATTATCTTTCATCTCATTTTCAACCTTCAAAGTAGAAACATTCGCTTTCCGAATCCTAGTATATTGGTAGTACCCACATATTGTGGAGTTAACATTTTTATCATATATCCTGAAGGATATGAATCGTAGATGACACGTGACAAGTGATAGATGACAAGTGAAGAGTGATAAATAACATGTGACCAGTGAAAATGACATATGACAGATGACAGTTGTTTCTGTTCTGCAGATTCTATATGCTTGTCTATAAAATTGTTATACTGCGTTTTATTCTATCTAACTGTAACGTACCTTTCGAAATGCTATAATAGAACGTTCTTCATTTCAGGGTCAATTTGGAACAGACAAGGGAGGAAAATAGAGATCGAACAATTCTGAGGGTTCTCAATGATAGTTCGTTAAATAATACAGTTTTTTCAAGCACATCCTCCCCTGTACCAGAATATGATAATACATACGACTCTGTACTTACTCAAAGAACATTGATTATTATATACAGTTGTTTGGTAGCTGCAGTGATGGTCGTTACTATTACGAGATCGATATCGTTTTTCAGATATTGCATGGCTGCATCTACTAGGTTACATAACTCGATGTTCAGTAAGATCGTGTATTCCACTATGAGGTTCTTCAACACGAATCCTTCCGGAAGAATTCTCAACAGATTCTCCAAGGATATTGGAGCAATTGATGAAACACTGCCTTTGACTATTGTGGATACTCTTGGAGTAAGTAGTAAGTTATTAGTTTCATCAAAAAATCCATGTTTTATCACAAGATAAAAAATACACATACAACAATAATTAAGTGCCTCACTTTGAAAGACTCACCTTAAGTAACCGACTTCTGTTTTCAAGCGATTTCTGTATTCGTAGAAACAAAAATATGAACTTTCCAAACTAACCTGTACCTTCTTCAGCACCAATATATTGTTACGTTTTTCCCCGTGGGTTGACCAATAATTGACTACACTGAATAGTCAAACTTAACTTTATTTCACTTCAAATACAACAAACACTTCAACTAAAAATTCAACTATTATTTGAATGTCTATCGCCTTACTGAATCACTTCGCGTACCGCACTGTAACATCCACTTGACTGTCTCGATATCCTCGTGGCTAGCTTTTGAATATTGTAATCAAATATTGTCGAAATTTCTCCGAAGTTCTGTCGAAGTCGGTAGCATTATTCTCGCTGCTTCTAGATTGGCGAGGAATCAATGTGCCCTCGCGCGCTCTTAGCCACGTCACGCCAGCGGCGGCCAGCGTTATTTTCTTTTGGGCATTATTTACCACAATATATATATTAATTTTTTGTCTCTTCTCTCTCTCTCTCTTTCTCTTTCTAAGTTAAAGGCTTTGGCTTCCATTGCCATTTTGTCTCTTTCCGGCTCATTTCTATATGATGTCATTTCATGTCGGCTGAATTTCACTATCAATTCAAATTGAACCAAAGCGCTGCCGAAACAGTCCGAAAAATCAACCAGGCATTTGGCAATGATAGTATTAATGAATGCACTGTTCGACATTGGTTTCGCGAAATTTCATTCCGGAGATTTCTGCTTCGAAGACAATCCCCGAAGTGGTCGACCTACAATGATCCAGGACGAGGATTTGGGGCCCCTGGTAGAGACTGACCCATCACAAACGGTGCGAGGCGTGATGGAAGAGCCGGTCGTCAGCTCTCATGTGGTTTTCGATGGTTTGAAACGTATTGAAAAGGTCAAAAACTCGAAAATTTGGTTTCCCACGATCTGAAAGATTGACAAAAATTGTCACGTTTTGAGGTCTGTTCCTCTTTGCTTTCGCGCAATCAAAACGATACTTTTTTTGGATAGGATCGTCACGTGTGATGAAAATCATCTACAACAAGAGACGTTCAGGACATTGCTTGGACACCGATGAGCCACCCAGGCACTTCTGAGAGGCAAGAACCCACCGAATATGACCATGGTTATTGTATGGTAGCCAGAGGCTGGTGTGATTCACTATAACTTTCTGCCACCGGGGCAAACCATCACAGTAGAGTCTTATTAAAAAGAAATCGACAAAATGTACTGAAAATTGCGTCAGCAGCACCCAGCACCGGTCAACAGAAGAGGTCTGCTTCTGCTTCACGTAAACGCACGCAGCACATTTCACAAATCACCGTCCGGAAATTCAACGAATTGAACTTTGGAATTCTGCCCTACCCACCATACTTCTCAGGCCTCTCGCCAACCAACTACCGTTTTTTCAAGCACTCTGATAACTTTCTCACTGGTAGAACTTTCGCCGATCAGGACCAGGCGAATGCGGCCTTCACTGAACCTCGAGCAGACAATTTGTATGCTGACGAGCTCAATCCACTTGAGTTACGTTGGCAAAAGTGCATTCATTCAAATGGCGATCATTTCGATCGAACTGAATAAGCAATTATTGATATATTACTGTCTAAAACCGTTAAAACGGACAAAACTCGTGAAACAACTCAATATTTAGTAGAAAAGTTGTATTATGCAAGATGTTCTGCAACTGCTGAGAAAATACTTGTTTCCACTTGCTTCAAAATTATTACAAACTATATTGAAATGGTCTTTGCAAGTGAGGAAGTTGTCTTTATTGATGACTCTATGAAATCACATCCTGCTGTTTGGAACCAAATCTATGATTAGCCATATTCCTGTGGCACTTTCGTAAAGGTTTTTCTCAACAAACACGGTGGTGCTCCTGCAATATTGGTATCATTGGACCATACTTTATTTGCATACCGTTATTTCTCCATTAAATATTTAATAAGTCAGATTTGAACTGGAATAACAGATTTCCAAATGGAATCCAGTGTTGCCAAGCTGACGGGAATACAAGCCACATAAATTCCCGCTTTTCCGTGTGGCCGCTTTGATTTTGATGCCGATACGCATGCATCACTTCTGACATCACAAATATTTTCGGCGCGATTTTTGTCTGTTTTGATTTCTATCGTTTTTATCATTTTACGAAATTGTCGTATTCGTGAAACATTTCGCATATGCGACAATCAAGTAGAAAGGATATATTTTATCCAGTAAAACTAACACGTACCCGTGACCTATGTTGGTATTTGAATGGATTTGCCAGATGGTTTGAAGTAATTTTCGCTGATAATACCTAACCTCTGAGTTATCATTACTTAAAAGTTGCTGGTCAACCGTTTACAAGTGATACTACTATCAATCGATCCCCATCTCCTTTAAAAAATTCTAAATGACACCCTTAGAAGGTTGAACTTTGTTGCGATGGTTTTTTGGTCAAAACTTGCCCCCTTTGCGAACTTAAAGTTCTCTCACAGCCAGTGCTGGTATCCTTGGTAAAAAAAAAATAAAATCCTCTGAAATTATGTGCCACTCGGGTTCGTCACATTCTACCTCTCCGTAGGGCAACCCCCTACCACGAAGGCTTGAAATATAACTTGAAACTAAGCCCCTCGATAATAAAATTGACATGTAACTAAAATATTGATAATGTGAAATTTTCAAATTGTTACTTTTTATAGTTCAAACCTCAACTTGGTTTTGGAAAGTTTTAACGAATCTTCCGTCTTTTCTAGATTGGCCTATCGGTTACAGGAATAACTGTGGTGATTACTACAGTGAACCCTTGGACCCTCATACCGTCTGTGATCATATTGACAATATTTTATCATATAAGAAAAGCATTTCTTGCGTCAAGTAGAAATATAAAACGTGTCGAAGCCATCAGTAAGTATTTATTATTTTTAATGTCATGATATTTCGAACCGAAAAACAATGAGCTGAAAATGATATTTCTTAATATCTGCAACTTGGTAGTACTATATCAATCCCCAAAATTAAAAGTATAATTCAACACAAACACAGCTCTCACACACCAAACTGCAGAACAAACTAATTTGCCGTCATCGGGGATATACTATCAGTTACACATAGATTCCTCTTATCTAAAAAAATAAACATGCTAATGATACGTCTATAATATAATAGACAAGAAAACAAATGCATTATGTTGAATGATCTTCATGAAATTTCATTTTGGCTCATATAATCACAAACTGTTATGTTTCGTGAAATCTTCGTTCATGTTCGTTTCGAAAAAATCTAATTCACCAGATATGCCCTCTGCAACTTTTTTCTGTTCCCAAGATTGAAGAGACCCATTATAGGACGGCTTTTTGCGACGATTTAGGGTTTAGGATTTAAAAACCTAATCGCCGAGAGAGTTCAAGGACATACCAAAAAGTCCATATCAGAACTGCTTCAAAATTAGAAAAAACCCTGCTACAAGTGTATTATATTTGAGGGGAACTACTTTGAAGGGAACAAAATGGAAATTGATGAATGAAAAATGAAAATTCACCTTATTTGTTGAACAGAGAAGTATAAGCTCGATCTCCATGAACAAAAAAAATAAAAACCCAATGGACTTTTAGATATTTCTTCATCACATTCATTTAAAATTTTCCCATTCATTCATTCAGTGAAAAGTAACGATATTGGAATCTACTGTTGAAAATAAATAGCGACCAACATGATTATTTATCCAGATTCTCAAATAATCAACAAATACTCAAAAACAATAGAAATGTAGGTAAACAATCCATTTATTATGCCGGAATGAAATCATACAATGAAATGAAATTGAAATAAATTTGAATAAACGTATCAATGAACGTTCTGAACTCATTACTGATTGCTACTGTTGAAGTTATTACTATTCATATTATCACTTTTAATGTTATCACTGTTTAGGATTCCTGTTAATATGTCTGCTGAGTTGTTCCTCCTATAAACATATTGTATATATTTTTTGGGATATGAATGCCTACTTAGTTATCTAATTCCCTAATCGCTCTCATGGGACTGTCACATCCAATTTATTCACCTCGAAGTGAAGCCAAGTAAATTGTTGAATTTTCTGTTTACATCCAAACAAAAAATGTAATGAGTAGATGATCAGCTCGAAAAGTGCAAAAAGTTGTGGTGTGTAGATAAACAAAAAATAGGTTTCAAATATTTCTTATCCCAGCAAGATATTAACATTAATGCAGTTTTTCGTCTATTGGAATGAAAATACCTACATCATCATTATTTTTCAGCACGTAGTCCAATGTATACTCATTTAACCGCCTCTCTACAAGGTGTTACAACTATCAGAGCTTTCGGAGCAGAGAACATTCTAACGAAAGAATTCGACAATTTTCAAGACGCCTACACTTCGGCATATTTCATGTTCTTAACTGCCAATAGAGGTTTTGGTTTCTGGTTGGACATGCACTGCGTTTTGTACGTTGGATTAGTACTAATTAGTATATTATTCATACAGAGTGGTTAGTAATTTTCTTTCGATAAATCAGTAACAAATGCCAAAATCTCTAACATTTTCGATGGTCCTCATGAAGTATGTGCCTGCAATCTTATGAACCTACTTTAATAGTAATTCTTTCGCAGAATCTTTTGGTGGTAACGTCGGATTATCTCTGACTCAAGCGATGGGGTTATCAGGCATGTTCCAGTGGGGAATGAGACAGTGGAGTGAACTTGAAAATCAAATGACATCTGTTGAGAGGGTTCAAGAGTACGCAGACATCATACCAGAACAAGATACAAACACTAAAGAACCGCCAATATGCTGGCCAGAGGCAGGAAGCATCAAGTTCTTGAATGTCTTCCTCAGGTATTCCAAAGAAGATCCTCCTGTATTGAAGAATCTCGTGTTCGAAATAAAACCAAGAGAAAAAATTGGGATAGTCGGGCGAACGGGAGCTGGCAAATCATCTCTCATACAAGCGCTGTTCAGATTAACAGATATAGAAGGTAGCATTTTGATAGATGGTGTTGACACAAAAACCGTTTCGCTAAAAGTTCTCAGATCAAAAATATCTATAATACCCCAAGAGCCTGTTCTATTTTCCGGAACACTCAGGAAAAATTTAGATCCTTTCGATGAATATCAAGATGAGGTGAGAAATTTTTAACTTTATAGTTTGTTATAATATGAATTAACTCAGTGAAAGTAGTCCCGTAATCGATTTATTTTTCATGATTTTGTACCAAACATATAAATGTAGTTGATAATTTCCATCCATTAGATTGTGAATACGTTGTGTTGACTCATGTTTTATTTCAGCAAAAGAAATATCAGATAAATTCATTGAAATTATTTCACAATTCGATAAGAGATATTGTTCATTCCGTTGTTCAGAAATTTCAAATCTTTCAGTAATACAATATCTTTCCTTGCCTTCTTCAACATCAGTGAAAGTGATATCCATTTTTTCATTGAATCTATTTATCAAAATATTCATTGTTTTCCCAAACATGTTGTTAATCATCTCTCATGTACCTGCACCTGAAACCCTAAAAATGATTATTTTTCGACCAACGTATTACCATAACATACGAGAACAACTTTTTCTTCGAACTCAAAATTTTCTATTTTTATATTTTCGTATTTGAACTTTGATTTTCTAAACGGCATTACATTTCATTTTTGATAGCCTCATATTCACTTACAGAAATTGTGGAATGCACTGGAAGAAGTAGAACTGAAAAATACTGTAGATGAACTTCCTGCAGGTCTGGACAGTAAAATGGCTGAAGGCGGTTCCAACTTCAGCGTAGGACAAAGACAGCTTCTCTGCCTCGCTCGTGCTATAGTACGGAACAACAAAATCTTAGTCCTAGATGAGGCAACCGCCAACGTGGATCCGCAGACCGATGGCTTGATTCAAAGCACCATAAGGCAAAAGTTTGCTACTTGTACTGTACTAACCATCGCACACAGACTCCACACTATTATGGACTCGGATAGGGTTTTAGTGATGGATGCTGGGCAATCTGTGGAATTCGACCATCCGCATTCTTTGTTACAGAATAAAACCGGAGTCTTTTATGGATTAGTGAAACAAACTGGCCAGGCAATGGCTGCAAACCTACAGTCGATTGCCGAAGAAAGTTATATTTCTAAGACTACCTCAACGTCACTATAAGACTATTTTGTGTATAGATTATATTCTAAATATGATAGTTTTCATATATTTTTTTAACAAAACATTGTGATATGAATTTACTAATAAAAATCTTCCATTTCACCCGAATGTACTATATTATCGTGAACACTGATCTGAATTAATAACAAAATTATACAGTTCCAAAAGTGAAACATAGAATGATAACCAACTGATTTCTAAAGCGGTGACGTTTATTTTGATTTGATTTGATATCAGGTAACGCATAAGTTGAAGAATCAATATAACTATTTTTTTTACCAAACCCTCATATGTTATAGTGTACATGGCCAAACTAACCTCCAAATTCAGATTACGGACTGCCATCTGCACGGATGAGAGAGTACGACTGATGAATGAAATAATTTCTGGAATACAAGTCATTAAAATGTATACGTGGGAAAAACCATTCACAAAGTTAGTCGAAATAACTAGAAAGTGAGTAGAAGAAATACTGAAGAATTTGTAAATGCGAAGATTGACTTTGAAAAGCAATATGCAGTTCGAATAATGAATTCGAATTCAGAATTATGTCTTTGTACGTTTCTTGCAATCGCTTCAAATGGCTTGACATTATATAACCTTAGTACAGCGGTCTTCGTAGCTTTTAGGTTGATACGTTTTTATTACTTGTCAAATGTTTCACCTGAAGAATCTGAGAATCGAACACAAACAATATTTCCAATTTTTTCCCAACTCTATAGTGTGAGAATAATAACTGAGAAATTGCATTCATACGCTCTTCAACTTTTTCAGTAATATAATTTTTGCTTTATCTGTAACATATACCTATACGAAGCTTTTCATACTTTACACAAAGTTTTCTACCGATATCCAATGTTTTTCCAATTCTGTCTACAGATATACTTCATCACCATTCAACTATGGGAATAACAATATAACAAACTATTACAACACTCATATGTCTTCTGTAGAATTGTGCCAGCTATTGAAGAACAAGCGCATTACATTCCAGATTGTGATACCATAAAACCGAACTCATTGAATGCCACTTTAGGTGGTGATTTTTCCTTCCACATTCAAGAAACTCGATTTTTGAGAAAAACATTTCACTGTTCTGTTATTGAAAGTATTCATAAATATTGAAAATTTCTAGTGTTTCCCAAATATGACATTATTCACCATTGAATTTACCTTTTTTCGAAAATTTCCATTCATTACCAATTTAACAATAAATAACTTAATAATCAAAGAGGAAATAATATAGAATAACAAATATGAAACAATGAGAAAAACATCAATTTCCTAATGCTCAGTAGAACCAGAAGAAATCCAAAAGTTTTCGTGTTCATGGAATTATCTTCAACGTATAAAAAATATACTGAATAAGTTTTTTCGAGCAGCGGAATTATTATTCTTTATATATTTTGGCAGACTATTGTAAATTGTTATTCCAGTAAAGCATAATGAATTTTTACAAACTTTAGTGTGTATTTGGAAAAAATTCTAAATAGCTTGATTTTTATGAGATGGTCATGATTATTAGAATTAACAGTATAAAAAATATTCGAATGTTTATATTTATGTTTTGTCACTGAGTAAGAAAACTTTTCTTCGTTTGAACAATGAAAAAATAAAGGGTTTTAAATTGGGTTTTGTGACAGTGCCCCAAACAGAAATCAAATATTGGAGTTTTGAATAAATAAATCAGAAATGAATAAAATTCAAATAGTGACAAAGATCACAACTCATACGAAATTTCTATGATTGGTGGTTGGTGGATTGGTTTCTAGTATATTTGATACTACAAATATTGTAAAAGAGAGGTATATTCGTTTCGTCAAACATTAGGTTTCTGTGTAAGAAGTCTGTTGAGAAAATGAGGTAAATTTCAATTTTTCTCACAGAATATAAATTTATTTTTTTTCTTTTTGAACTGGTAACTTCTTATGGGAGAGTAAACCGCTTCGTTACCTAACGCGTTGCGACGCCAGTTTTTCTGGTATTCCCTTTCTCTCACGCATACGTCAGCGGAAGGCGGGCTCCTCCTCTCTCGTCGGATAGACGCTCAGTGTTTAGTGTACGATATACATATTCTGTTGACAGTATTATAAAAATCGAACCAGCAGGCACGTAATATTTTTTTATTATGTGAAACGTGGCTTAGAAATAATGATACTAATTTTGGGTGGGTACATTATTAGTATCATTTTTCAATCCTACAAAAGTAACAATTGGCTTAGGTAGCCATAATATATGTACATACACAAAATAATCAATAAAATAATAAGTTAAACAAGTTAAACAATTAATTTCAATATTAAACAGTTCAACTTACATTAGTTTGAGTTGTCACTTCTGTCGGGCGTCCAAAGACGCTCACATTTTTTTTGTAAAAGAATGTATCTCCCAATTTGAACCTTTTCATTCTAGGAACTTCTTCAGGAAGCTTAATTCATCTGATAAAAGTTGTTCATCGACCTATATTGGGTATTTTCAACTTCTCCATTACAGATGTAATGGTGAACTCTAAAAAATGACCCGTTCAATATTCAACTAATAAGCTTTTGTTTTCGGCTTCATCTAATTTTTTTGTTGCTTTTTCAACATTTATATTGATCATTCATTCTGGATATTTATCTCTGGCCCTTTTTCAGAAAAGAAATTAGTCAAATTCGAGCCACATCTACAATACGAGCTATCATGATGTCTTGTAATGTCATAATGACAAGATCTGCAGTCTGCCTATGTGTTCTAACATATGTCTTCACCGGAAACCCGCTCAACGCGACCTACGCATACACGGTCTCTTCATTCTACAACGTCTTGAGGGTAGCAGTAACGCAGTTCTTTCCTCAGGCTACAACCCAGTTCGCCGAAACAAGAGTCTCTGTGAAGAGAATACAAACATTTTTATTGTACGATGAGCTTCCCAGAAACGTAATGATGGGTAGTGGGCATTTACCGAATGGGGTCAGTGAGAAAAAACATTCAGACGCGAAACCAAATGAAGTTAGGGTTCATCTGAGAAATGTATCTGTTAAATGGTTGAAGTCGTTGAACGAAAGCACCCTGGAAAACATCAATCTCAAAGCAACATCCAAGCAGCTGATTGCCGTTGTAGGCCCTGTGGGGGGCGGTAAAACAACCCTTCTTCACGCCATATTGAAAGAATTAGCCCCCGTGGAAGGCTCTATCGATATTGTTGGAAGCGCTTCATATGCTTCGCAAGAGCCTTGGTTATTCGGAGGAAGCGTCAGGCAGAATATTTTGTTCGGGCAGGAGTATGACGAGAAAAAATACGACGAGGTGATAAGAGTATGCGCTCTTCAAAGGGATTTCACTCTGTTCCCTTATGGCGACAGAACACTGGTGGGGGAGAGAGGAGTCACTCTAAGTGGTGGACAGAGAGCCAGAATCAATTTAGCTAGGGCGGTTTATAAAGAAGCTGATATCTATCTGCTGGATGATCCCCTATCTGCGGTTGATACCCATGTTGGAAAACAGCTATTCAACGAATGTATATGTGGATATTTGAAGAACAAATGCGTTGTGTTGGTAACACATCAACTTCAGTTTCTCAGAAACGCCAACTGCATTTACCTGCTTGAGGATGGAAAAGTGAGAATGTCGGGTACTTATCAGGAAATGAAGAACTCTGGCAGTGATTTCACTAAGCTTCTGGCCGAATCGAAAGAAGAAGAGAAAAAGGGGGAAATCCGCAGATTGTCTAAAATTGAGGATAAAGATAAAAATGAAAAAGGAGATGCACCTGCTATATCTCTGGAAAGGGAGCAAAGAGCTAGTGGGATTATTACTTGGCACGTGTACAGTAGCTACGTGAAAGCCGGTGGAAATTGGTGTAAAACAATTGTCTTGTTTTCCTTATTCTTATTATCACAAACATTTGGTAGTATGACTGATTATTTCCTAACTATTTGGTAAGTAAAACATTATATTTATATGTGTTTTATTACGAAAACTTCATAACCAAAACTTTGTGTCTTAGGGTTAATTTGGAACAGTGGAGGGTTGCAAATGGTAAAGCAAAATTCACCTTTACGGAGCTCAATGATACAGATGTTGCTATCTCAAAAACTACAGGAGAATATAGTGACAATATCTTCGATTCCCTCTTAACCAAAGATATTACGATTGGAATTTACAGTAGTTTAGTATTCATGGCAGTGTTTCTAACTGTCACAAGATCCATATCATTCTTCAGATACTGTATGACTGCCTCAACCAGATTACATAATTTGATGTTTAGCAAGATCGTATATTCCGCTATGAGATTCTTCAATACCAATCCGTCCGGAAGAATTCTCAACAGATTCTCCAAAGATATCGGAACAGTAGATGAAACATTGCCTATTGCTATTGTAGACACTATACAAGTGAGTATGAACATTTATATTACATGTTTGAACTGTATTTCAAATTGACAACTTTTTCAGATTGGATTAACTGTTGTTGCTATAACTTTGGTGATTGCATCATTAAATCCGTGGATTATTGCACCAACTATGATAATCCTTATCATATTCTATATCCTGAGAAAAAAATTCCTAGTGTCAAGCAGAAACATAAAGCGTGTCGAAGCCATAAGTAAGTTGCAGTTTAGTAATCAAAATAGTTTCAGTTAATTAAGTTAGATATTTCATGAAAATCATACTTTTAGCTATCGAAGTTCAACATAAATTCTGTTATTCCAGCTCGCAGTCCAATATACACCCATCTCGCTGCGTCTCTTCAAGGAATAACTACCATCAGAGCTTTTGAAGCAGAAGAAATCCTAACCAAGGAATTTGATAATTATCAAGATGCTTACAGTTCAGCGTATTTCATGTTTCTAACAGCCAATAGGGGATTTGGATTCTGGTTAGAATTGCATTGCGTCATCTTTGTTGCTCTGGTATTAGTCAGCATATTGATTCTAAAAGGCGGTAAGTTGTTGAATAAATACTTACGGATTAATGAAAAATTCGTACTATGCTAATTCGTAGCTATATGAACGATTGATCTAGACCATAAAGAGGTTACGCTTATACTGAACTCATTATTCATCTACTCAGTAGATAGACTGTTCTTGTCACCATCTTTGAATTCTCTGTTCTTATATC